TGTTGCTCAAATACAAAGACTTGGCTATGGAGCGCACTCTTTTAAATATTTTTACCGTATTACCATATTACCTTAATTCGATGCTAGGGTTATGTGACCTCTTGTTGTAAAGTTCATATAACCTTTGTTTACTCCTATAAACTCTGTCGTCCATTCATTAAATGCCTTGCGATTGTTCAAGGAGAATGTCTTAGATGTAAAACTATTGTCAAATTAATTGCTTAAATAATGTTCCATACAAAAAATCTGGATTATTTTGGTATGAAAGTGATGGACGTTTTTTTACTATGTTACTTCTATACTTCTCCAAGCGACGTACATTTACTGAAACAAACACAACTTTTTTATCTACTTGATTTTTGTGAACATAAGGTAACGAAACTAATTGTTCACAGTGATCAGAGCTCAATTTTTGAATCATACATACGGCAAAACATTTCTAAAATTGTTATCTATACATGTTGCATTGGATTCAACAATACGCGTTGGCTCCAAAAATCAATTAAAAAGACCATAAGATTTAAACAATGATCTAAATTTAATATTAGTGGAGGAAGCTTCTAGGACATTGATATTATAGTCTCCATGTATTACAACCGATTTATTCTCTTTATTCAGCTTAGCGAAAACTTCCTCCATATTTTTTTCAAAAGTATCGTATATAGAACGTGGGGGTCTGTGTGGGTGTCAACAATGAGGTGCTCAAACTAAACATGCCGTTTCTGCAGTTCGCTCAACAGAGAGGCTCTCAATATCTTGACGTTCTTTACATGAAAATAAAATATTTACTAGCGAAAATTAAGGAGCCACCTCTTAAAACCGTTTCTCTATTGAAAGAACTGACCACCTGGTGATTACTGAAGTTAAACATTTAAGTAAGAAGCTTTTCTCCAATGTTCAATAAGACATAATAACATACGAATATTGTTGCTATTTAAGAACAATTCAATTTATAGCTCTTTGCCCATCATGCCTTGTATATTCTGATGCACCATTTCCATTTGCATCATTTTGTGGGGTCATACAATTGCAACTGTTAAGGATTTGTAAGCTACAGTCTAAATTATTTAAATTATTATAACTGCTAGAGATTACCTCTATTGTCTCATTTTCTAATTTAAATTACTCTGAACTGATTTCAAACTGCATGTCAAATCATTATGCTGCTCAATAGGAGCAGATGTCTGGGTAGCCATGTCCTTGGCTGAGTTAAGAGGAGTATTACAAAAAATCGCAAAATTATAAGGTTTCCTCGTTGCAATTATATAATTTCCGTTTGTTGAACAATAACATTTACTAGGTGAAAATAGATCGTTTTTTCTACTACAATAAGCTTAAGGCAAATTTTAGAGATAACTTATTTATTTATTTAGTAATAATCATTCTCCCGATGCATATTAAGGCCCAAAACTCTAAGAGACATGACTTGGGAGCTCTAATTTGTTAATTCTATTGAATATCGACCATCGAAAAAAATATTTTTATCTCACAAATATCCTATACTTTATTAATCATAAAATACATTTTCGTTATATGCCTATCACGTAAGGGGGAAAAAATCGAAATAGTTCAATTATCTACCGAAAAAGCTTAGATACAAGCCGCAATATCTCCAAAGTTCTATGTTATTTTGACGTAAAATTTATATAAAATAATCATCAACATTTACTTAAACTCTACTATGATTTTTACTTTTTAAATCGTTACTATTATTTTTCAATTAACTAAATAAAACTACCATATATTTCACTGCGCCGCCCCTTTGTGTTCAATAGTTCAATACAGCGCGAGCGCTCGTCTTTGTTTCGATATTCAAATATGTCCAAGGCGAAATCTACGCGATCGCTTTGGAACGGCGTAATATTGACGCACACTACAATGTTATCTCTGTGAGCGTGTCAGGGCGAGCGTGAGGCTATAATAGTTGTCTAACGACGACTACGAATCACTTTGATCTTTGATTATATACCTGTCTTTGATACCATTGGAACTAAAATAATAAAAAAATAATTTCCATATAATGGCTTATATAGTGTATGGAAATCGGAGGCTAATATGTGGAAATTGTTTTATTTTTTAGTAAATTGAAGTCGGCTTTACATTTTCACCCTATTGAGTATATTACAATATGTATATGTTCTAATTGAAAAAAATGTATTGTATAAAATATATATCAATTGATAAACTTTTATTCTTTTTCATAATGTAAACATAATTCATCACAAACTAACAATTTCATTAGCGTCGGCGGGGGAGTAGTGTTGCCAGGTCTAGCAAGTAAAATTTCGGGACGGAAGGTAAAAATAATCGGGGATTTGGTTTTCATATCCGGACAACTACAATGACTACAAAATATAGGTTTCTTTGTAGCCTTTTTGTGCTTTATTGAGAGCCGTGGTAGCTCAGATGGTCAACGCTAACTGTAAAGTGTAAATATCACATGCGAGTAATGCGAGAAATTGTGACTGTAGCTTTACTTTATTTTTGTGCTTTATAATTATTATTCGGGTCTGATCTCATAAACGAATAACTTTTCATCCAAACATCGTAAAAACTGATTTTGTTTTTCATTTTAAGCAAATTAAAACATTTTTGAACTATTTGTTTTTTTTTTTTTGCAGTCCTTGAATTTTTCAAATCACTCATTTTAATATAATTCTGTTTAAAACTTTTGTGGTTTTTTTCGACTAGTGAGACAATGTCGTAGTAAAAATATTTTAATGTGGTAGTAGCTAACAGATATAATCATTTTTGCTGTCTAAATTATGGATTAAAGTATAGAATAAGAATGTTAGTGAAAATGGGGACATTTGGCGTCCCGATCAAGGGTGAATCGGGACGTGTCACTAGACCCTTGAAAATCGGGACGTCCCGCGCAAATCGGGACACCTGGCAACACTAGCGGCGATCGAGCCCGGATTGTTCGCGTTTACGGCGAGCACTACGCCCTTGAGCTACTCAACTCAAGCACGGCTCATATGTTTTATGTCTGGGGGCACGGTAGTGCCCCCGCCAAGTCGAGCAAAACAGCGGCACGGCCGTATCATCATTGCGAGACTTGGTTATTTTACAAGTTATGTTTTTGATGGCATGTCTGTTTAATCATAACGTTATCTCCGCACTAGGAATTTTTCCTAAGTACATCGTTGGGGCAGTTTAAATACATTAATTTCACAAGGACAAACATCCAGACCTGGAACAATTATTTGTAGGTAATACAAATTTTTGCTCAATGTGGGATTCGAACCTGCGGCGCTCAGCGCTACAACTCATTACCAAGTCACTCCGCCACGGAGCCAAAGGTGAAAGCCAACGATTTTGTATTTTTACTTGATCCGAATTGCTTATGTTTATTACTCATTTCTAAAAAAGTATGTATGAAATGAAAATTTGTCACCATTACATCATTTAAGGGCCCCTTTTCCCAAATTTATGTTTCTAAATCGTGTTGTTTTCAAAGAAATCATCATATTTAAAATCCTAAAAAAAATATATAGTACAGATAAACGTTTGATCTAGTGACTTTTTTGGATAAAAACACAATATTAAACATTTAACTCGATAAAAAAAAATCAGAAGTAACATCGATTTTGAAAGCATTTTCAGTTTTATGAGAATTAGGGGAACGCTATACTTATGAAAATTTTACATTTCATTTACTAATCAGGTTTTACAGGGATACTATTGGATAGATTTATAATTTGGCACTTATTTTTTTCTATATAAAATAAAATACGTAAAAAGCGACTCGCGCGCACCACGCCAGTGCCACCAGTGTCCAGCCGGACGTCATCGAGGGAGGACTTGTGCAATTTTTGCTCGCGACTACGTTGTCGTCGCCGCTCGCGTAATAGTACCTACCTACTAGCATAAAAACTTGTTGTATTATATGTAATATAATAGAAATTAGTTTAAAAAGACAATACTCGTATCTAAGTATACTGACCTATGTTTTTTAAACAGAGTTTGTAAATAAATATTTTTTTGTAAGTTGTGATTTAATTAAAATGGCGAATAAAAAATACAAAATTAGGAAAAAAGCCTACCTAAAGTGAAGAAGATCCGAAAGTGTATTGCGTAAGTACTTAATAAGTTCCTATAACCTAGCCCTAGCGTAACATCACAACATAAAAAAAATACATATTGGAATAATTAGATATCTACTTTAACAGGGACATAGACTAGCTAAATCAGTATGACAATTTTTATTTTCGTTTTCTAATGTTCCACTATTTAGTGGGTGGATTCGTCACAATATAATTTACTGTAATCTAGCTAAGCTACACAGACTAGCGAAGTCAGTATGACAAGAATTTTAAATCCTATAGTAACATTCACCTATATTTTTGTATACCTACTAACTCTAGTAATTCATTTTTTTTTGCTTTTTGAAATTTTGTAAATTTATTTATTCCATTCCAGTGCTCTGAGATCTCGTACCGATAAAAGTACTTTGATGTCCAAAAACAGTACCGATGGGCACTCTAAGGAGAGGCAGTATGCGTAAGTACATTATATACATATTACACAGTATACTAGGGAGGAACAGTTTTACCTATTATTATTATTTGTATTCTTCAATTGTCAGATTTCTTATGCCTATACTACGGGCCAAATTCCTCGGATCACCAGGGTCGATCTCCAAGGCCCTTGGTAATCTAAATGGGATGCTAGGGTTTCTTGAAGAGATAGGTTGGCTCGAGAAGTGAGCCCCCACCGATCACACAAAATAGGCGCTTTTGACGTAGAGTTGTGGAAACCAGCCCGTTTTACCATTACCATGACCACCACGCGTATGTCTGGGATTCACGATTTCAGGAAGTAGGCATTTATGGTAAAACTGTATTAATTTGAACTCCATCTTCGATTTCCAAAATACGTCAACTTTTCAATTATTTCGATGTGGACTGGCTCTTTTTCTCCGGCCCAATACTAAGTAGACATTGCCGTCGTCTTGCCACATGCAATTGTCCCTGGATTGGTATAACCAATTACTAATTTTATTGCGATGCAATGTCTTTTGATACTTGCCCTTTGCAAATGGGGCCGAAATTGAAGGCAGTAATAAGATTTTTTCGAATTTTCGTATTACGTTCAATCGCGTCCTTGTCAGCAGTAAGAGTTTCTAAATTCTTTAGAAATTCTTCTTTAGCTACTTCTAGTTCAGACTCGGACATATCTGGATCTAAACTGGCGGGGCCATAGTCATTTTGTTTTTGTTTCGCGTCTGTCAATTTCCTGATTTTCTTTCTAACTGGACGTTCTGAGTTGTTTTTTTCTTTTTTGAGCTTCTTCCCTTTTCTTTTCCACAACATCAGCAAATCCCATTTCGGGTCGATCTTTATTTGTTAATGTGTTTTGCACATAGGATATGGCTGACTTTGCATTAAATTTTACGACTGCAGCATTACACCTCCCTTGGTACCCTCGTTTCAAGGCAAAATTTATTCGCTTTCCTCCTATAAACTTAGCAATGAGACTTGTTGAAACATTCGACAAGATTGGTATTCACGTTTTCTATTAAACTACGTGATTTTACTGCCACATTTGAAATATTCAAATACATCCGGAACAGAAATATTGAATTTTGAATCGTTTTCAGTCCGTTGCAAGAAAATTTTTCTGTTACAGTTATAATCCTGGCACATTATGTGATCACCGTATGCATGCGCCACAGAATTATTTATATCACTGTATAGTTGTAGCATCGTCCTTGGGATTTTTATTATGGTGCATAACTGATCTTACTATTGCTTTCCAATTGGACATAATTTTCACAACTATCAAAGTTCTTCAGTGGGACAAAGGATATTTTGTTTCTGTAACCAGACTACGTAATTTTTTGCAAAGATTTCTCAAAATATGATTTCTTTCACTAAATTTTTTCCACTGTAATATTTTGGTCTTTATATAGATTTTCTTTTAGCACTTTTTCGTATATAGAGGCGTCTCTGTCTACAATCTTTCTTTTATAAATTATGCTATACCTACATGTAATTATTTGGCCTTTGGCAATTATTTGGCCCTCCATAGAACATAATGAATCTCTGTTGCTACCATGCCTGTGGTAGTTTACATTAACATTTGAGTCAGTATTTTCCGAATGTATTAGGCATGTTTGTTTACAAATATAAATCCCTTTAATTAATGACTTTCCATTTTTCCAGGAAAACTAGAAATGACGAAGATGATCCCCTTGTCGTTGAAGCTAAAAATCAAGAAGACAAGTTTCAAAAGACAACTGGAACAGACGAAGATGATGATTCCCTTATTGTTGAATTTGGAATTCAAGAATACAAGTTCCCACCAGTGGCAGGAAGACGCATTTGTGATATTAATTATATATTTAGTCAATTACAAGAAAAAGCACGTCACAACAACTTGTTTGACTGCAAAGCTGGAAATTTTCAGCTAATCGGTAAAAAAAGGGTTGGCTTACTTTCAGTATATAAATTTGAATGCAATATTTGTAAACAAATTTGCCTTATAAAATTGGAAAATACTGACTCAAATGTTAATGTGAATATCGCAGCTACCACTGGCATGGTCGCAACAGGGATCGGCTTCTCACAATTCGAAGAACTTTTTTCTGCAATGAATATTCCTGTATTTTCTGCAAAATATTACAATCAACTCCAGGATCAAGTGTACGAATGTTGTGAAAAAACAGCAGCCGAATCGATGCAAGATGCTGCAGAAGAAGAAAAAAAATTGGCTATCGCAGAAGGTCGCACCAAAAATGGCATACCGGTAATTGACGTTTACGTCGATGCTTCTTGGTGTGCTAGATCGTACGGATCAAATTATAAAGCTGCTTCTGGAACTGCGGCAATTATCGGTAGAATTTTTCTGGCTGTAAAAAATAAATACTGCCTCGTGTGCGCCCGTGCAGGTAACAAAAATGTCGCTCCTAAGGAGCACAATTGTTTCAAAAACTTCGATGGTTCATCGTGTTCTACATAATGCCGAGGGCTTCCAACTATCCATTTCCATGTATGGCATAATTTATAAAAGAATGATTGCAGACGGAGACGCCTCGACGTACGCAAAAGTGCTGAAAGAAAATCCATATAAAGACCAAAATATTACGGTGGAAAAAATTGAGTGTAGAAATCATATTTTGAGAAATCTATGCAAAAAATTACGTAGTATGGTTTCAGAAACAAAATACCCTTTGGCTCACCGAAAAACTTTGACAGTTGTGAAAATTATGTCCATGAGGAAAGCAATAGTAAGGTCAGTTATACACCATAACAAAAATCGAAAGGACAATGCTATAACTATTCTTCACAGTGATATAATCAATTCTGTGGCGCATGCATACGGCAATCACAGAATATGCCAGGATTATAACTGTGACAAAGAAAAAGTTTATAGCGATGGGCTGAAAACCATTCAAAATTCAACATTTCTGTTCCGGATGAATTCGATTATTTCTAATGTGGCAGCAAAATCACGAAGTTTAATAGAAAACGTGAATACCAATCTTGTCGAATGTTTCAACAATGTCATTGCGAAGTTTATAGGTGGAAAGCGAATAAATTTTGCCTTGAAACGAGGGTACCAAGGGAGGTGTAATGCTGCAGTCGTAAAATTTAATGAAAAGTCAGCCATATCGCAAGTGCAAAACACATTAACAAATAAAAATCGACCCGAAATGGGATTAACTGTAGTTGTGGAAAAGAAAACGGAAGAAGCTCAGAAAAGGAAAAACAACTCAGAACGTCCAGTTAGAAAGAAAATCAGGAAATTGACAGACGCGAAACAAAAACAAAATGACTATGGCCCCGCCAGTTTAGATCCGGATATGTCCCAGTCTGAACTAGAAGTAGCTAAAGAATAATTTCTAAAAAATTTAGAAACTCTTACTGCTGACAAGGACGCAATTGAGCGTAATACAATATTACAAAGAGACAATAGCGAATGGTTAGAAATTCGAAAAAATCTTATTACTGCCTCTAATTTCGGCCCTATTTGCAAAAGGCAAGTATCAAAAGACACCGCACCGCTGGTAAAAAATATATTATATAAAAAAAATTAGGCCATGTTGCATCAATTGCTTATGGTATTGAAAATGAGCAGCAAGCATTGCACAAGATAAAACAACAAAAAAACGTGTCTATTGAGCCCTGTGGACTGTTTATAGATAATGATTTTCCATTCATTGGTGCTACACCAGATGGGCTCATTGGAAATGACATTCTAGTAGAAGTCAAATGTCCTTTTTGAGCATCAAAAATTGGCATGAAAAAAGCAATTGAAGAAAATAAAATACAAATATTAAAATTTAATAAAAAAAACGCGCACTGCAACACTTAATAAAAATAGTAATTGGTTCTACCAAATCCAGGGACAATTGCATGTGGCAAGACGACAGCAATGTCTACTTGGTATTTGGGCCGGAGAAAAAAGAGCCAGTCCACATCGAAATAATTGAAAAAGATGACGTATTTTGGAAATCGAAGATGGAGTCCAAATTAATACAATTTTACCATAAATGCTTACTTCCTGAAATCGTGAATCCCAGACATACGCGTGGTATGGGCATAAGAAATCTGACACTTGAAGAAAACAAATCATCCGAAAATAAGGAAAATGAGGAACCTCTAACACAAAACAGTCCTGATTTGTTATCAGATGCTAGTCCCCAACACGGAGGGGAGCGCCATGAGGACTGTGGCTTTGACCCTCTAAGAGGAGACTCACGCCCAGCATTAAGGAATATATCGGTCGATGAAAATGAACCTGGACCTAGCACACGAGAACTAGATTTTATTGAATTTTAGTTTTTAGTTGGCTTTTTTTCAATTTTTATTTTCCTCTATTATTAAAATTTCACCCAAATTTTATTTTAATTTTTTTTTTGTAAATGATTATAAAGAGCCTTTTCAAGCTTTTTTAGGATTTCGTAGCCGAATGGAAAAAACCGGAACCCTTATAGACTCGTCATGTATGTCTGTCCGTCCTTCCGTCCGTGTGTCACAGCATTTTATTCCGAAACTATTCGGACTACATATTTGAAACTTAGTAGTCTACCTACTAAGTTATTGTATTCTGTGAATTTCGTTTCTATACAAAAATAAAATACAAAAAAAAAATATAAGTACAAAAAACAACAAAAAAATGTACAAATAAAAAAACTAAATAAAAATTGATTAAACGGAAACAAAAAGTCCGAATGGGTATTCGAACCCGAACCTTTCTTCAGCGTAGACTTCATAGGCCGACACTATAACTGCTCGGCTACGTAACAATAGCGGCGAAATTACGAAACATACTGCGCGGGTAAATCTTTATGCGTGAAAATAGGGCGAAAACGGGCGAAAACGATTTTTCCCAGACATGAGACCTAGCTAGATCGATTTTTCGTCCCCGTAAACCCCTAAATTGAAACTTTCATGAAATCGTTAGAGCCGTTTTCGAGAACTCATTTAAAATATATATAATATATATATATACAAATATTGCTCGTTTAATAGTATAGGATAAGTAGTTAATTTATTTATCACAATAATATATAACAAAATCGAACTACTGATTTATTTATACTGTGGCGTGCTCGCCCGCCTCCATAGGTCACCGAAGTTCATGTCGCGCCGGCTCCTGTGCAACGCGGGCGCGAGCCGTCTCAATGCGTAAAATGCCTAAACTTTCGGGAAAAGGGGCCCTTAATATTTAAATTACAATCATAAACATATTTCAAAATTAGTTACTACCAAAAAAATCGCTTATAAAAGTCTCAATCGATTAAAATGAGCGATGGTGCTATAGGTAGCTAGTTATAGTACAGTGTAGTATATCCCTATCGGTGTATCAACGCGATCGCGCGGTGTCGGTGAGAAAAAGTGATACGTCCTGTCGTTGGGATTACCCGGAGCGTACTGAATCGAACGGTTTTTTTTTTTTTGCGCCCGAAGCAAATATGGGCAACCCTCCGGAAAGCGGGGGAGGGAGGTTGAGAATGCTCATAGCATACCACGCAGCCGGCTGCGTGGTTATGTGGAGCCGTTTACCCATTAAACTCAACCTTTTGGTAATTGGCTTAACGATCTGACTAGAGATCTCTAAGCCGTATACGAACGCGACCCTCCTTGGCAGAAAGGAGGGCGCAGTCGAACGGTGCCTGCTCATGATGTTTTATAGAATTTTTAAAATAATTAAACAAAATAATTGACTAAATAAAACAGGCTAATTTTTTTTGGATATTTAACTTTAATGATTTCTTAAATTTACGCGAACACTACACATTGAATAAAACTAATATTTACGGATTTTATCGCGTTTAATTACTTTAATTTATTTTTATTATTATCCCGACGTTTCGGGTGCTTTACAGCACCCATGGTCACGGGGAGGGGGGACTGAGATGTTTGACGTCCCAACGTCATAGTCCGGCTACCTTCAGTTTTTTTAATATTAATTTTTGTTCCGATTTACGCAAAACGAGCTTATAGTGTCATGAAGTCTTGCAGTGGTATGCTTGGGTTTGGGTTTAATTTTGTTAATTATAAGATCCCAAGCAGATGGTAGCACCCAACCATCTTCTCTATTGAAATTTGGATGTTTTTTAATTTCAATAGCCTCGCGTATCATCCTTGGTAAATCGTGTTCTTTTGCGAGAATTTGTGGTTTATCAAATCTAATGTAATGGTGGGGACGATCTTGAACATGTTCGCAGACTGCAGACTTCCCGGAGCGTCGGTGCTTCACGTCAGCTATGTGTTCCTTCACGCGGGTTTTTATAGATCTCTTTGTTTGACCTATGTAAGAGAGACCACATTCACAAACTAGTTTGTACACACCTGCATCTTGTAGAGGAATATTACATTTGATGGATGGTAAAAATTGACTAATCTTCTTCAGCGGCTTGTAGTATGTCTTAATGGACGCTCGCTTCAAGATGTAGCCAATCTTATCCGTGACTCCTCTGACATATGGTAGTAGAGCAGGAGCGCGCTCGACTGTGGCCGGTTTCACTCGTTCACTGTGACGTAGGTGCGGGACCCGAAGCTTGTTGTCTTGCAATACTTGCTTGACGTGCTGAAGTTCCGCATCATCAAAACATCTGGCCGCGACCGCGGGTGCTGTAAAGCACCCGAAACGTCGGGATAATAATAAAAATAAATTAAAGTAATTAAACGCGATAAAATCCGTAAATAATAGTTTTATTCAATATTTAACTTTACATGTATTTTGATAAAATAATTAAAATAGATATGTTTATAAGCAAATACATGGAAAAAATGACATTGAAGTAGACAGTTTTGGTGATTTTATAATACTATTTTATAATATTAAATCGAAATATTTTCGTAATTTAGGTTTTGCTATACACTAAAAGACTATATATTTCATTATAATAACGCTTAAAATAAAGTATTTTAGCTTATAATAATGGTTGTATTCAACCTGAAAGATAACTCTGATGCATATTTTCGTAAAACACTGTGAAGGGATTGTCTTCGCCCTAAAAAACTGTCATTAAAAACCATGATTTTGCATTGCTATGTACTAAATAAAGACTTCATCTTTCTGAAGCCCTAATTTTCAGCAAATAATCTCCTCACGTCGTTACGATATCGCGTTTGGAAAAACGATAAAACATGTATGTAACAATATATGTTCAACGCGAAACGCATATGCCCTCTTAATGTAGTGTCCGTCGAAGGCCGTGGCTAGCGTTGCCAGGCGTCCGGATAAAGTCGGACACAGTCAGGCTTTTTGGTTGCGTGTTCGTCCAAATTATGCGGTGTCCGGCCCGTCTGAGTTTTGTTCTATAAATCGTTTTTGGGCCAACTAGATATTTTAACGTAACTTAACTGATAAAAAAGATACCAATTTACTATAGTAAAGTAGTTAAAGATTTTATCAAAATCTAACTGGTCTTATGATAAACAATACAATTAAGAATCAATAGCTACATATAAATCACCGCAGTCTGTTTATTCGTGAACTGTTTTCTC